CCTCCTCCTCCTCCCCCTCCCCCTCCCCCTCCTCCTCCTCCTCCTCCTCTCCTCCTCCTCATCATCATCATCATCATCAGCATCATCATCTCATCATCATCATCATCATCATCATCATCATCATCATCATCATCATCATCATCATCATCATCATCATCATCATCATCATCATCATCATCATCATCATCATCATCATCATCATCATCATCATCATCATCATCATCATCATCATCATCATCATCATTCGCCTCCTCCTCCTCCCCCTCCTCCTCTTCCTCCGCCTCCGCCTTGTCCTCCTCCTCCCCCTCCCCCTCCTCCTCCTCCTACTCCTCCTTTTTCTCTCCTCTTCAACCTCCATGGGCGTTCACAAGAGGCCCAAGCCTTTACAACAAAAACAACATACGATTTCTCAAATTTGTTGGCAGTGTCGAGGGCGCGGCGCCGGAATAAAGTGCACCGAAGTCCCAAGCGAGAGCGCGACTCCTTAGCACATTTCAAGAGAACCCTGGGCGAGAGTGCACTTGTGAGCACATTCTGTGCAGAAGGAAGAAGCGGGAACCGTCGAAATCTTTCGCCCAAAAACATATACTGTTGATCACCCCCCTGCGGTGCACCTGGTGTTTTCGAGTTAAGATGATGATCCCAGAGCGCGTACCCTGTTTTCTACCAGGGATAATCTTGAGGCTCAGGCTGCGCCCCTGGCCTCCGAACTACAACAACAACAAAACCAACAACAATCAGTTTGAGACTGTTTGCTCCTATCTGCTCGCGTGCCAACCAATACGTATATGCCAAACCCTCGGTACCCGCCCTCGTCATCTTCGATCGTACCCCCTTGGGGGTATATCTTACTTTACATGCCACGTGCATGTAGCGCAGCCCCTGAAGCAAGGGAGGAGGGGACGGATGGAGCCCGAGGTCATGAGCCTCAAGACTTTCCCTGATAAAAAACGGGGTGCGAGCCCCGGGAAAGCCACTGCAATTGGAAAAATACAATGTCCACCGGTGGAGGGAATCAACAATAAGTATTTTCAAACATGAGAATTCAACAACAACAACAACAACAACAACAACAACAACAACAACAACAACAACAACAACAATAACAACACCAACACCAACAACAACACCAACAACAACAACAACAACAACAACAGCAACAGCAACAGCAACAGCAACAGCAACAGCAGCAACAACAACAACAAGACCAACAAAACCACCAACAACAACAATAACAACAACACAAATAATAACAATCAGTTTAACACTGTTCGATCCTATCTGCTCACGTGCCAACCAATACGTATATCCCAAAGCCTCGGTAACCGCCCTTGTCGTCGTCGATCGTACCCCCTTGTGGGTATATCTTACTTTACATGCCACTTGCATGTAGTACAGCCCCTAAAACAAGGGAAGAGAGGACGGGTGGAAGGGGGAGGGAGAAGAATGGAGCACGAGAGAAATTAGCACGAGGGGGGCAAGGAGCATAAAACAAGTGGTAGAACCAGACGGGCAGATCGGGTGGGCAGACACATAGCGGGCAGGTCGGGAAGGCGGGCCCAGGCGACCAGGTCAAGCAGGCAGGTTGCTGAAGCGTGGGTCCTGCATGAATCGCGTGGAAATCTCGAGCGATAGCGCGATTCCCAAGTAAATCGTAAGAAAAGCCAAAGCGAGAGAGCGTGATTCCTGAGCGCCGACGGCGCGTCGTCTGAATCAATTGCGAGGGAGCCCCACGCGAGAGCGCGATGCGTACATGAATTGTGATGAAGTCCCGCGCGAGAAGGCGATTTGGGAATAAATTGTGAGGAAGAATCAGGCGGGAGTCGCTGTTGTTGTAAACCGGGGGCCAGGGGCCCAATTTGAGCCCCGTGACCTTCTTTCATAAAAAAAAAGGTGCAAGCTCCAGGGGAAGCACTTCAATTGAAAAAAACATAATGGTCACCAGAGGGGGGCATCAACAATAGCTATTATTCAGTCGTGGATTTCAGACAAAAACAACAAAACAAAACAAAAAACTAAAAACAAAAACAAAAACAGCAGCAGCAGCAGCAGCAGCAGCAACAACAACAACAACAAAACATCGGTACAGCCACTCCCCAGCGGTGCGACCTGACCAGGACTTCGAGTCGAATCCAGCCGTGACGGCGCGGGCACTGTAGAAGGGCATCCGTATCGTTTCATGTTTCTCCTCGGACAACTACCTTCGGAGAGACTCACGGACAAGAAAGCTGCGAACAGGGCGTCGGGAACGAATCTGGTATCGCAAGTGCGAATTGTGTTCGCGGCCCTCGTCGGGCCATTGGTGCTCACACCGGCGCCGAGCCGTGACACGTGTTCCCGAGTGGCGCACAGAGCAAGAGGCGCGTCGACGGCGAAACGAGCTGCAAAAAAAATTAGGGCGGGGCGCTGCCGGGGAGGCATTCGAAACGTTCACCGTGACAAGGGCCCCCGGGGCGAGCTCCATGTTCTGCTGCAGAGGGAAGATCAAGCGCTGGCTCTTCTGGGCAGATGTAGATGGCAAGCAAAACCTCGATAGATAATGCTTCAACGACAGATCGAAGGGAAGCATCGAGCACCACAAGAGGACTAATGATGGTGATGTTGATGCTGATGCTCGTGCTGCTGCTGTTGATGACGACGATGATGATGCTGATGATGATGATGATCATGATGATGATGATGATGATGATGATGATGATGATGATGATGATGATGATGATGATGATGGTCATGGCGATGATGATAATGGTGATGAGGATGACGACGACGACGGCGGTGCGGATGATAATGATGATAATGATGATGATGATGATGATGATGGTGGTGGTGGTGGTAGTGATGATGATGGCGATGATTAAGATGAGGAAGATGATTATGATGATGATGATGATGATGATGATGATGGTGATGGTGATGGTGATGATGATGATGATGATGATGATGATGATGATGCTAATAATGGTAATGGCGATGACGATGATGATGATGATGATGATGACGATGGCGAGAATGATGCCGATGACGATGATCAAAATGATATTGATGATGGCGACTCTGATTATGAATAAGAGTATGATGCCGATGATGAGTATGATTATTATTATGGCTACAATTATGATCATGATGATTATGACTATGATTATGATGATTTGTGAGTATGCTGATGATGATGCGTATGATGAGAATAATGATGATGGCGACGATGCTGATGACGACGGTGATGATGCTGCTGATGAAATGATGAAACTCATGATGGTGATGGTAATGGTCGAGGTGAAGGTGGTGGTGATAGTGATGATGGTGATGATGATGATGGTGGTGGTGGTGGCGATGCTGTGTTCATGGGCGAAAAGAAAGACAAATGGAGGCATAGTGATAAGACGATAAGGCAACAGGCAGATAATGCGAAAACGAGGGATATAGAGAAAAAGAAATAGGGAGATAAAGAAAGAGGGAGTGAGCGAAAGAGAGAGAGAGAGAGAAAGACGGGAAGAGAGAAAGAGAGAGAGAGAGAGAGACAGATAGAGAGACAGAGGAAGGTGTGCTTTATCTTCCAGATTGCCCTCTCGCCCTGTCCCTAGTCATTGTGTATGATCTGGCTTGCAACTCTGATGCCCAGCATCATGCAATCCGATTGGGGTTGGCAGCGGCCTTCTCGTCAGCCAATAGAGAACTACTGGTACGATTGGACGGAACTTGACTCACAACGCGCTTGCGATCGCAAGTCCCAATTCTTGGGGAGGGTGCTCGCCAGCACGGTGGCAACCCAACTTCGTACTAGTCTCACTGTGGGTGGGCCGCTTGGCTATGCTCACGACCAGCCTCGAGTATATGGGCTCAGGACGGTGGAAGCCATACAGTTTGTGCACGCCCGCGAAAGCAGGCGGGCGAAAGGACTGGGACAGCGACCCAACGCGACTATCGATCTCAACATGAATTTGGATTCAGATGTCGCCGGGCACGGTGCGTTTGCAGCCCGCACGCGGCTGGACCTGCAAAACAGCTTGCGCACCCCCGCCAGAAGCTTACGAAGTCGTTCCACACAACGACAAAGAGAAAGAATACTTCAGTACGCCGAATCACCTCGTAGTGAAAGGAAGGCGGACCATGTCGAAAAGTCTGAACATCAAGCAGCGGCAACGTGCAACCGAACACCCCACACATTCCTGACCGTGCGCACTCGAGACATCGCGTATAACAATTACCGTGTGATTTACCCAACACACCCGCAACAAGTAATTCAAGCAATGGGCCTACTGTTTGCGGGTGGTAGCATGACAAATATCGCAAGTTGGAATGACAACGCCATGGGAGGCTTACGCTTCCCACGATTTACAAATACATTTGGAAAACACACTGCCCTACAACATGTCTGCACAGCAGTGTCCTGGGAATGACACGACTGCGCTGGACCTGCCAGTGGCCCACGAGAGTGGCGACGGTCGCGAAGGAGACAGCCCCCCTGCAGGAGCCGCGGGGTCTGCTTTAGGCACGCGGATGACACCACAGCGCTTGGGCCTGCCAGAGAGCCCACATAGCAGCAGACAGTTACGCGGATGGCAGCACCCGCTGGGAGCCGCGAGGTCTGCCCTGGGTGCACGTCAGGCGCCAGTGCACCTGGGCCTGCCGAGCCTCCGCGAAAATGGCGCCCCTTGCGCAGGTGGCAGCGCCTTCATACGCCGCGAGGCCCAAGCTGGGCACGCGCCCATGTTGCAACGGCACCCGGCACCCCGGGAGTCCACGAAAGCGGCACCCGTCGAGCAGGTGGCAGCACCCCGAGGGGACCGCGAGGTCTACTCCGTGGGCGCGTAGAAGACACCGTTGCGCTGCGCCTCCCGGAAGCCCACGGAGGTGGCGCCAGCTGCGCGGGTGGCAGCACGCCCCATACGCCGCAAGGTTTAGTTTCGATGCGACCGCATGTTCGCACTGCGCTGGGCCTCCAAAGAGTTCACAGAAGTGGCGCCAGCTGCGTGGCAGCACCCTCCAGGGAGCCCCCGGGTAGTTTGCGCGCGCGTATGGCACCACTGGACCCGGGCCTCCCAGGAGCCCACGAAAACGGCGTCACTTGCAAAGGTGGCCGCACCCCTTATGCCGCGAGGTATACTTTGGGTGCGCGTCTGACAGCACCGTGCGCTGCGCCTCCCAGATGCCCAAAAGCGGCGCTAGTTTCGCAACCAGAAGCATTCCCTTTCTAGGGGTCCTCAATCTTCCGAAGGGGAGCCCGGAAGCAATAAAAATACAGCAGGTTCGCGCCCCTGAGGCTATACTCCATCGAAAATTACGACGCGCCCGCGCCTGCAAGGACAGAATCGCTTGCGAATCGCGCAAGATTCGCGCTCACGAAACCAATCTCAAGCAAATTGCACCAGGCTCGCGCTACCCAAGCCACAGTCCTGTCTATGAATTACAAGAGCCTCGCGCTCCACAAGCCGCACTCCGACACGCCAGACTCGCACCCCTAGACGCAAGCCCATTTCTCACCTTAAACTAGTTTCGCGTCCCTCAAACTACCATCCCTCTCAAAATGAGCCACACTTAGTTTGACACTAGCTATAAATTGCGGCATGCCGCGCTCCCGAAGAAAGTCTCGAAAATAGTATCCCTCGAAAATTGCCCCGCCTTGGCTATCCCAAACCCACACCGCCGCGGAAATTACCCCTTGCCCGTACCCCACAGATTACACTCGACTCGCCCCCCCCAGGCCACAACCCTCTCTGTAAATAATACGACCCTCCCGTCGGCGAAGCAGCCGCGCACCATAAATTACTACGCGCTGGCGCCCCCCAAGGACATGTGAGTGAAGATGTTGAGCCCCTGTGTAATTTTGAATGCTGCGCACAGCCTCTACACTGCACGGCTGAAAACGGCAGAACTGTCACCAGCAGACGCATTCCAAGCACGATCTTTGTGCAAGAGCCTTGGTGTCCGCACCCCTTGGAGGAGGTCACGCTACAAAGGCTTCAGTGCTCGGCCAGGCGAGGCAAAGCCGGATGAGCAATACCTTTTCTGGAGCGACAGCTGATACTTCTGGGCAAGATCGCGCGCATGGCCGACGGCCCAGCCGCGCGCGAGTTGCTCCAAGCCCAGAAATGTAGTCCTCCGAAATCCACCTCCAGTCCGCCGGCGAGGCCGCCCCAGACGAGGGGCGGGCGCGCAATGTGCGTGAACACGCTGCGACTGCACGCGCGCAGAAAAATTATCTTGGCGAAGGACCCAACCATATGCAAATGTGAATACCGCAGGGCAGGTGGGACGAAGCAAAAGGAATTCCCAATGTGGCCACGAACCGTGTGAAGGGTTCGCTACAATGGAGCGGGGCCGCCATGCGAAACCTGCCACTGAGGCCTTCGGTGGAGTTCCCTATGTCCCTGCGGGGCCACGAACCGTGTGAGGGGTGCGCCAAAATGGACCGGGGCCGCCATGCGAACCCTGCCACTGGGGCCTTTGGTGGAGCTCCCTATGGGGCCACGAACCGTGTGAGGGGTGCGCCAAAATGGGGCGGGGCCGCCATGCGAACCCTGCCACTGGGGCCTTCGGTGGAGCTCCCTATGGGGCCACGAACCGTGTGAGGGGTGCGCCAAAATGGGGCGGGGCCGCCATGCGAACCCTGCCACTGGGGCCTTCGGTGAGCTCCCTATGGGGCCACGAACCGTGTGAGGGGTGCGCCAAAATGGGCGGGGCCGCCATGCGAACCCTGCCACTGGGGCCTTCGGTGGAGCTCCCTATGGGGCCACGAACCGTGTGAGGGGTGCGCCAAAATGGGGCGGGGCCGCCATGCGAACCCTGCCACTGGGGCCTTTGGTGGAGCTCCCTATGGGTCCACGAACCGTGTGAGGGGTGCGCCAAAATGGGGCGGGGCCGCCATGCGAACCCTGCCACTGGGGCCTTCGGTGGAGCTCCCTATGGGGCCACGAACCGTGTGAGGGGTGCGCCAAAATGAGGCGGGGCCGCCATGCGAACCCTGCCACTGGGGCCTTCGGTGGAGCTCCCTATGGGGCCACGAACCGTGTGAGGGGTGCGCCAAAATGGGGCGGGGCCGCCATGCGAACCCTGCCACTGGGGCCTTCGGTGGAGCTCCCTATGGGGCCACGAACCGTGTGAGGGGTGCGCCAAAATGGGGCGGGGCCGCCATGCGAACCCTGCCACTGGGGCCTTCGGTGGAGCTCCCTATGGGGCCACGAACCGTGTGAGGGGTGCGCCAAAATGAGGCGGGGCCGCCATGCGAACCCTGCCACTGGGGCCTTCGGTGGAGCTCCCTATGGGGCCACGAACCGTGTGAGGGGTGCGCCAAAATGGGGCGGGGCCGCCATGCGAACCCTGCCACTGGGGCCTTTGGTGGAGCTCCCTATGGGTCTACGAACCGTGTGAGGGGTGCGCCAAAATGGGGCGGGGCCGCCATGCGAACCCTGCCACTGAGGCCTTCGGTGGGCTCCCTATGGGGCCACGAACCGTGTGAGGGGTGCGCCACAATGAGGCGGGGCCGCCATGCGAACCCTGCCA